CTCCTTTCCTCTGTCTCTAAAACTCAATAATATTTATATACATATTTAAAAAATCCTTGACTCCTCCTAGTGAACTAAGAGGGAATGCTACCCAAGTGAAAGTGATAAAGTTGGTGTCATGTAAACATTCACAGACCCCACTAAGGATGCCCGCTCACTTACACAGTACCCTCATCTTCAGGGGCAGAGAATATGTCTCTTAGCCACTCCCCTTTCACAGTCCTATAGCACAAGCCTGAGATCCTTGGGGTGGGGGGGAGTTGATTTTGCTTTATTCACTTACATATTCCTAGTGCCAGCTCAGTGCCTGCCACTAAGTATGCAGATGATCAATAAATACTGGGGATTATAATTTAGGAGGGTGTATGTATAGATAAATGTTCCTTAGAGTTTTCCATCCAAGTATATATGGTGATAGGGAAAAAGGATGGTCCCAAAGTGCAAAGTTTGGGAGACCATCCTCATTCTGACACCAGTTGCAAGCTTGCAGACCCCCCAAACCAACCTCAGGTTTGATAATTTGGTAGAAGGCCTCACAGAACTCACCGAAAGCTGTTTTACTCATGCCTATGTTTTATTATAGCAAAAGGATACGGATTAAAATCAGTCAAGGAAGAGGTACATGGGGCAGAGTCCCAGAGACTTCTACATGCAGAGCTTCAATTTGGCTTCTTCAGTGGAACTGTAGACATTGTTGACTTCTTGCAGCAAAGATATGTGACCAGGTGCATGGAGCATTGCTAATCAGGGAGGCTCACCTGAGCCTTGCTGTTCAGAGTTTTATTGGGGCTAGCTCATGTACACATAGTTGATTCCAGAGGTCAAGCTGATACAATGTGGCCCCCAAAACCCCATAAGCATAACATTTTGGGGGGTACATAGTATAGTATCTTGAAAATGTATGCAAATGTTATACATTAGTTCCTAATGTAGCTCTTTTATTGTAATACTAGAGGCCCAGTGCACGAATTTGTGCACGGGTGGGGGCCGGCTGGCCTGGCCCCAATCAGGACGGATCAGGGCTGGGCATGTCAGAAAGAGGAGATGGCAGGAGGTTGGCCGGCCAGCCCACCCCCATTGGGGCCCATCAGGGCCTGGCCAGCTGGGGGAAGGGGCCCTGGGTGATTGGCCAATGGGCCTCACCCCCAATTAGGATTGGGGGGCTGGTTGGGGTGTGGCTGCCCATGGGGAGGGGCTATGCACAGTGGGCTGGTTGGCCCTGCCCCCGAGTGCGGTGGGGGGGTGCTGCCAATCAGGGGCCAGCAGCCTGGGGGAGGGGCCATGGGTGATTGCTGGCCAGCCCTGCCCCTGATTGGAGAGTGGGGACTGATTGAGGGTGGAGCTGACTGAGGGAGGGGCCATAGGCCCATTGGGGTGGTGGGTGCTTTGGGGTGTGGGAGGCGATCAGGGGCAAGGCCGGCTGGGGGGAGGAGCTGAGGGCCTATTGTGGTGGGGAGGGCTGATCAGGGGCGGAGCTGGCAGGGGGAAGGCGGTGGGGCATTTGGCGGGCTGGCCCTGCCTTCGATCTGGGTGGGAGAGTCCAGTAGTGGGCAGTATTTATTAAAGGATACTTTTGAGAACAGTAACTGGGAAGAATGAGAAAAGAGCAGGTTTGAGCCGAGGAATAAGTAAAGCTGCAATGCTGGCCAGGGATTAGCCTCAGAGAACCACATGGAGAACTCTTGGGTCAATGGGGGAAAAAGGAGACCTATGTACCTAATCGGGCTGGTTTGCTGGCCACAGTGGGCATCATAGCAACCAGTCGTTATGGTCTCTGGCTTTTTATATACATAGATACAAAATATTTAAAAATACTTACCATTGAGTAAAACTGACACTCTAAGATAACCACATTTATTCTGTGGCTTTCAAACTGTCCCACTGTTGAGTGCCTCTGCGGTTGGGGTACCCAGTTTGAGTCACATAAGTCCCTGTTATCAAAGTTGCCAATAGCTTCCATGTAACCAAATCCAAGAGCCACTTCTCACTTGACCTTTTAACAAGATAGGCCTTCTTCTTGAAACACTTTTCCCCCTGCCTTTCACTAGATCATAAGCCTCAGTTTTCTTCCTATTTCACAGGGCCCCTTCAGTTTCTTCTGTCACCTTCTTCTCTGTCTTACCTTTAAATGTGAGAGCACTTCAGGCTCAGCCTTAGGCCTTCCTCTCTTTTCTATCAACCCCTTATTTCAAGTTTTTTTTTTTTTTTTAATGAGGTCCCATGATTTAAAAACTTTTTTTGCTAATAACTCCCACATTCATATAACCAGTCCAGAAGGCTTCCTTGACCACCAAACTCCTGTAATCCAATTTCCAACTTTACTAACAATTCCTTCAAACTTAACATATTTGTGGTAGATTATCTACCAAGATTATCAACACTGTGCATGTACGCTACGCCTTCCATCAAGAGGTGTAGAATATTTCCTCTCTCTTTGAAGCTGGGCTGCCTTTGTCATTTGCTCGGATGAACAGAATGCTTCCACTTTTGCTCTCTTGGGAACACTGAGCCACCATGTAAAGAGCTCCAGCTGCCCAGCTGTAGAGAGAAGGGTCCCTGGCCAGTTCTCAGCCAGTACATTTATGCTAGGTAAGGCACCAGACATGCGAGTGAAGTTATCTGGAATCATCCAGCCCCAGTTGAGGTTTTAGTTTCCAGAATGACCCTAGGATAGATTAGAAAAATCATGAAGCTAAATCCAGCCCAATTTGCAGAATCATGAATAATTGTTATTTTAAGCCACTAAATTTTGGAATGGTGTTTTTTATAGCAATAGATAATTAAAAAGTATGTCCTTAACAGAACTCTTTATTCCCTACCTTCAATACTCCCCACAGTCTTGCCTCTCCCTTTAATTTCCACTATTATTAATTAGGTGCTCAGGACAAAAATCACAAAGTCATAATTTTAAGTTTAAAAATATCTTCCAAATCCAAACACTTTTTACCAGCTCTACCTCTACCACCCTCTTCTTCTGCCTGAACAATTGCAGTAGTGTTTTTTTTTCTTTATTGCTTTTCTTTTCTTTTTTTTTTTTTTTACATTTAATAACCTTTAAATTGGTTCAGATTCATGCATTGCATTTGGTAGTCATGTCTCTTTGTCTCCTTCAACCTAGAATGATTTTTCAGTCTTTAACTTTCATAACCTTGATATTTGGATTCCAAAAGGCCCTAGTTAGCCCTTGGACTGAAGGGTCTCCGGTTCTATTTCAGTCAAGGGTAGATACCTTGGTTGCAGGCTTGATCCCAGGCCCCCAGTCAGGGTGTGTGCGGGAGGCAACCTGTTTCCCCCCATCCTTCCACTCTCTCTAAAAATCAATGCGAAAAATATCCTCCGGTGAGGATTAACCAAAAGAAAAAAAGAAAACAGACTATCATCATGATATTAGGACAAAAATTTCTTAAACAGGAGACGAAAATTACTAACCATAAAGAACCATTGGACTTAATTTTAAAAATTATCAAAATAAACAAACAACTCCACAAAAAAACTCCCAAACAAAACAAAACAAAAAAACCCTCAAAACAAAAAAATTTGAATAAAAGCAAATTTC